TGGACTTCTTTTTGGCTAGCATTTTTTACTCAATAAAATCTTAGTTAAAAAAAAAAAAGACTTCAGCTGTGGAAGTTAATTTACTGGACTTCTTTTTGGCTAGCATTTTTAACTCAATAAAATCTTAGTTAAAAAAAAAAAAAAAAGACTTCAGCTGTGGAAGTTAATTTTTTTTTAACTTTCCCAAGAGCCTTGTCAAAACAGCTTGTTGGCCAATGTTTGGATTTCTGCATCCATCGGACAGGTGAATTGTATCACAAAGTACTTATTTGTGTTACTCTTAAGGGTTTGAGCACATTTTCTTGTGTTTAAGAACCATCTGTATTTATTTTTCCCTTTGTTGTTAATTCAGGCCCTTTGCCCATTTTCCTATTCGAGTTTTCTTTTTCTTATTGATTTCCAGGAGCTTTATATAAGTTAAGGAAATTAGCTCTTTGGTAACGAGTTTGTCATTTGTCTTTTGATTTTGCTTAGTTTTGTTTTATAATGCAGAATTTTTTATTTTCATGTTGTCAAAATCAACCCTTAGTGACGGCATCCAGCTTTTAATTAGAATGACCTTCCTTGCCTTCAGGAAAAAAAGGGATTTGCTCAGGTTTATTTTTAGTATTTTATGCATTCAATTTTTACATTTAATGAGCTCTTTTATAGTGGCCAAAGACAATAGATGCATGAACAAATTTAATTTTTTTCTAAGTCTCTTTTAATTTATAAGTCCACAAAGATCATATAATGATTCTAAGCTAGAAAACAAGATACTCACCCTTGGCAAGCAAATTTTGATGGTATTTTTAATGTCCTCCTGCACTGATTTGACTTTACGGACCAAGGAAAGGTAAAATATTATTTTATGACATAATTAGATGTATATAATATTTTAAAAAGAACTCTTAACTCAAATAACCAGGATATCTCATTCTCCAGTCTTGCTGGAAATTAAAGAATATCTGAAAAGTAAATTAACACAGTGAGATATAATTATACACCTATCAGCAGAATGGCTAAAATAAAAATAATGACAATGCGAACTGCTGGCAAAGATGAGGAGAAAGTGGCTCTCTCAAACGCTGATGGGAGGACTGTAAAATGGTAGAGCCACTCTGGAAAACAGTTTCTTATAAACATGCAGTTACCACGTGACCCAGCAACTTTACTTCTATTTAGCCCAGACATATGAAAACTCAAGTTCAAACACAAATCGACGACAGAAATGTTCACTGCAGCTTTATTCATAACAGTTAAAAACTGGAAACAACCTAGATGTCCTTCCACGAGTGAATGGTTAAGGCCCCGTAGCATCTTTACCAGGGTGCGGGGACCCATCTGGAACCCCAGAGTTGGCATAAAGATTATTTTAAACTGAAGACAGCTAAGATTCAACATACGTAGAAAAGTCTTCTTGGCGCTTTCCTTATCTGACTTAAAGCAGCACCTTCTAGAAAATGAGGCAATCACAGACCCCCTCTCGGTCTTCATGGGAAGACCGCTCACACTGTACAAACATCACCAACTACATGACCGACTGTAATCTGTGTTCATTCTCTTGCTTTGCTTTTCTTCTACATTCACTCGGAATGTCTGTAACGGATCATTAGAGGAGGTGGGGCCTGAACTGAGCAACTGACCCAAGGCTCAGACTTGCACTGTCCCTTCATTCCCTTGGATGTCCCATACCCATTTGTGGCTTTGGCTATCACCTATTCTATCTCTCATCTATATATAAATACATATATGTATACACACACAAATACATACTTCCAGTTATAAGTGTTACTGACACTCTTTAAAGTTTAAAATCTAAAACAATTAAGTGCTTTCCTCTGCTCCCCCTAAACTACTTTTCTTCCAGATGTCCCAGTCTTTGCCCATCACTAAGCCACATTTAGAAAATGTGCAGTCCACCTAACTTCTCCATTTCAAGATAATTGCCAAACCTTCTCAAATCTTCCTTTATCAGCGAATCTTCCTGTCTACGCATCAGCGCTATCACCCCGGTTGAGTGCTGTGTCACACTATGGGCGAACTTTTGAAAGGCTCTATGTGGTATCTGTGATTTCGGGTTCCTTCTGCCAGCTACTTGACTGATTATTTTATCTTGTAAAACCCTCTGGCAAAGAGCACCTCAGAACTGAGATGGCTGCCATTGGCATTTTGTAGATCAAATTCTAAGTTGACAAACTAGGTGTGGCAAATAGTAGGCTGAGCGAGTTTTCTACAAGGTCCTAAGGGAAAAGACCACCTTGCAGCAAAGGTGTACTATGGAGAGCGGATTGTAAGATGACAAGGTCCTAGTAGTCTGCGAGGACAACCAAGGGCTACCTCGCCTCCGCAAATTCCTTCTGAGAACAAGAAAGTACAAATGTAGCCACAGGCAGACTAACAAGCTGAAGGTCATGATAAGACATGGCTTTGGAGAAGTAGAAGAAACAGTATTGCTATACCTTAGAGAAACTGCCTATGCCAGCAATTCTATGTTCTTGCATAAAAGCAACTTGCAAAAATAAAACTGCGCCACTGTCCACCATCAGTGGGCAGTGGACCTCCTGATCTCTGCTTCCTGTCTTCTTTCTTTTCTTCATCTCCCACCGTTCCCATTCAGGTACATTCTCCAGAGCCACGCTGGATGTGGCAGGACTTACCACTCGCTGGACGCAGCAGTATACAACAGCGGCTCTCAACTGGGGACACGATTTTGCCTCCAGGGACATTTGGCAATGTCTTCAGACATTTTTGCTTGTCAACTCAGGGGTGCTAACCACCCTACAATGCATAGGATAGCATCTCACAAAAGAGAATGATCTGGCCAAATGCCAACAGTGCCAAAATCGAGAAGGCCTGGTCTAGCACTTAGAAAAAAAGGAATCAGAGCAGTGTGAACCCACGACAGGGCTAGTGTGCTGACAAGGGAACTACTCTGAGATGTTCTAAATTAAATTACAGCAGGCTGGAGAATGAGGGGGAAAGAACAGTTAGCCTGTTAAGATGGGGGCCTGTTAACAAGACTGCCCACTTCCCTGAGTATATGCTGGATCTTTGAATTAACTTCCAGGTGGCTATTTCTGCGATTTCCCAAAAGAGAACAGCCAGGAGCCACAGAACCCCAGGAGCCTCCGAACATTCCAGATCGCTGCCCACCACTAGTGCTGGTTCCAAATGTACAGGTTAGTTCTAATCTGTCTGCAGGAACAGAAAGATCTTCTGAGAAGACAGGTGTGGGCTGAGTGCAAGTTTTTCACCTGACTGTTGTGTGACAAGAGGACACTGAACACTGTTTCCCAGGTCCTCATCTGCAAAGTGAAGTCGCTAATGCCAGCTTCAAAGGATTCATAGGGAGAGTAAACAGGGTCGTGGATGTAAAATGCTGCCTCTCCCTGGTCCACAGTAACTTCTCACTAAATGCTGACTCTTCATTTATCTTTGCATAGGGACCAAGCTTAGCCTTACTTTGCATTTCTTTATCCTCTATACCACCTGCTATGATAGCAATCTAACCACATCATAGCTGTGATCATGTATCTCTGAGGCTCAAAACCTTCCATAGCTCTCTACAACCCAAAGGATAAACTCCAAAATTCCTTCAAATGACCCCATTCCCCTTTTGCTTAAGTATTCTCCCCACCCCTTTTCCCCTCCTAAAATCCAGCTTCCCAAGAGCCTGTGTCTCCCCTAATGGTCCTAGTCATCTCTCTCTCCTCTGAACTCACAAGCAGACTGTGGACCACTTAGGATTTGTACCACATCTAAATGATGAGGTTGGTTGGATATAGTTCTAATGTCTCCACTAAAAGAGAAACTTATTAAAGCTAACTGATAAGGGTCTTTACTACATCTGCCATAGCACCCAATGCCTCATGCATGACAATGAGCTAACAGTTTATGACAGTTAACTCTATGCTGGGCATTATTTTAAGTGGACATTATTTTAATTCACATATACATATTTATATGTATATATGAATTCATTTAATCTTCACGACAACCCTACAGGCATAGGTACTATTATTTTCCTCATTTTACAGATCAGGAAACTAAGACCCAAAGAAGTTAAGTAACCTGCCCAAGATCACACTACTGGGAACGTAGTGACAGAGCCTGAGTTCAAACACAAGCAATCAGACTGCAGAACCCACAATCTTAATCACTATGCTACACTCAACATCTCATCAATTTAACTTCTGTACAAGACCTTTAAAAACTATGAAAGATGATAAACCACAACAAAACCAACAAATCCGAACAAAAGAGGTCTCTTAATATTTCTAAGGAAAGGGAGGAAGCAGTAGTGCATGAAGGTTTTTAGAATCAGACCAGAGTTAGAACACCATCTCTGTAACTTTCTAGCTGAATGATTCTGAGCAAGTCACTTAATCTTATTCGGCTTCAGGTTCGGCATCTGAAAGATGAACTACTTTATAAGATGGCTGCGATAACTAAAGGATGCAGACAGAGCACCAAGAACTTGCCTGACACACAATATGCGGTCAATAAACGTGGGCTCTGAGAGCCAAATCGTGAAACCCATGCAATTTCCTTTGCTACGCTATTAGACAACAACTATAAAATAGTATTAAAGAGTCACCATAATAACATATTCCTTTGAGGAAATATGCTGACATGAACTAGACTATTTTCTTAATACCCCAAGCCTGTAAAACAGTCAAATAACTTTAATTATATCTAATGAAACAAAAAGTCATGCCTCCGGGCATAGGATTGGAAAAGCAGTTGAAGAGCCTTTAATTCGTTAAAGCAAATGAAAAATGCAAAATGTAAACAGCCAGCAGTGGGAAAGTTCCCAAAGTGTACTGAAAAACGGGGTGTATCCAAATGCGTGGGGGTTCCGGAAAGCATGCCGGAGGGCGAAGGGCCGAAGAGAGTAGGGATGTGTACTGTACAGTTGCAGGCGCGGGGAAGGAGCCCCAGTCCCGTTAGAGAAAGGCTCCGCCGCCGGGACCAAGGTCGTCCGGGACCCCCAGGACGCCCGCCGCCAGCGCACTCACCAGCGCGCTACCGCGCAGCAAACGGGCCCGGGTCCCTCCATCGCTGCCGCAGCCCGAGTGGCGTCGCGGACGGCGCGAAGTCACTCCTTGAGCCCCTAGACAGCACGCCACCGCCTGAAGGCGGGCGGAGGCGGGCGGAGGCGGGCGGAGCCGGGCCCCTGCCCACTCAGCCCCTGCAACTGTCCCCTCCCACTCAGCTCCGCCCCCCCACGACTCCCCCACGCCCCTTTTGACCCCGCCCCCTCAGGCCTACGGAAACCCAAGAGAGTCAGAAGCCCCCTCTTCGCTTTTGCTCTACTTCCTGCTCACGCGAGACTTGGGTAAGGCAGCGGGGCGGGAAGGGAGTCGGAGACGCACCAGACATGGCGGCGGCGGTGGCGGCGACGAAGACAGTGGCGGCGACGGCGACGGCAGCGGCGTTGAAGAAGTCGGTAGAGATTATTCGGTGCAGTTGTCAGGTGGTAAGTCTCAGGCTGTCGGCTCGGACGGCGGCGACACGGCCGAGCAGGACGGTTAAGAAGGAGCGGTGGGAGGGAGATGAGAGCTGGGTTCGCTGATCCGCTGACCCCGCCCAGGGCTCAGCCCCGGCGGAGGGTCGGGCGTGGTCCATGGGTCGGTGGGGTCACGACCCAGGACCCTCCTGCTCCGAGTGCGGAGGATGCGGTGTCTGTGGCCCCGGAGTCCCGCGGGAGCGGCGCCTGCGGTTGCAGCGCCGCGGGCAGGGGCTTGAAGGCTCTGGGATGGGGAGCTGCCTCTGGTTCTGACAGGTGGTCAAGCCCGGGGCTCTCCGAGGTTTGCGTCTTCTCCGGGACCCAGGTTCTAGGAATCAGGCGAGGCGCAGGTCTCCTAGGTTTTCCGAACCCTGGTGAAGACGCCGCCCCGACGCCAGTCCCGGGCGACTTGCTGGGAGGAGGACTTTTAAAACCCGCGTCTTTTATCTGTTTCTGCTCAGATCCGTTTTTACTGCTTGTGCACTCTTAGTTTTGGGGAGATGTGAGGTTTGGGGAGGACTTTCCAGCAAAAGAACTGTTCGAGTTCACGAAGGGTTTAAGTCTCTTAATAAACTGGAGTGAGAGTAGCCAAGCCGTGCACCTAGTAAGTGTTCGGTAACTATATTCTGAATTGCTTCTGAATTGAAGTTAAACTACTTCCAACTGTCACTAAACACTGGCCCATTTAGTGTCAGAATGCAAAAGAAGTTGAAATATAAGCGCATTAAACTGAGATCTAAAGAAATTCAGTTTAGAAGAAACAAAACTTGTTTAAGCCAACTTTTTAAATGTCTGGACTAACAGCTTTAAAATTCTAGTTTATTTGATTAAACACATCTGCAGATTAATATAATCTTGGGAATTCGTTAAAGCGAATTGAGATGTTTGATGTATTTTTGCCCCTAGGGGTCTAAAGTATTTCCCAGAAAACCCTGAGCGTTTTGCTTTGAGATAAAAAGGAAAATAAAAGTGGGAATCCAGATGTGCCCTCACTGGGTGTGCGTGATGGGTTGTTTTTTTTTTTTTTAAAGCCCTTTCCTACAAATGTTTCCCCTAGCCCGTGGCCTGTTAGGAACCGGGCTGCACAGCAGGAGGTGACCGGCGGATGAGAGCGAAATTTTCTCTGTATTTGCAGCCGCTCCCCAGCGCTAGATCACCGCCTCAGCTCCACCTCAGATCATCAGGCATTAGAGGCTCATAGGAGCACTGGTCCCTGGTGCCAGAAAAGTTGGGAAACACTGCCCTAGTGCCTTTTTTTATACAATTATAGGTGTTCTGCCTGACCCTTTAAGAAGTGTAATATATGAACGAATGAAATTAATAACGAATTTAGAAAGACATTAAAAATTTTACCAAAAATGAAACCTTATGAAATCCACTGGTTGAAAATAACAGCGGTTACACTAATGCATGTTATTCTTTGGTGATTCTTTGGAGCTTTTGTTGAAGTGACTCTTGCTTTGTTCTTTGATTATTTGTTAGCTTAGTTTCCTGGGAACGGTAAAATTGGTACAAGTTATTTTATGAGCTTATTAAACCTGTAGATGCTAATTAAATTTTTGTCAAAGGTTTTCATTTGTGCTGTGCTCTTCTTTGCAGACCTCTGTATGGCTTTTCAATTTTAGTTGAAATTCCCTCCATGGCCTTTTGGAGTCCCTTGGTGTGTCTCCAGAGTAAATTTCACTTACTCTACATTTCATCCATGTTGGAGTGGCAAGAAAAAGGAGGAACTGATTTGGGGTGACAAGGTTAGATTGTGTAACTCCACTTTTGGATTTCTTCTAACTTGTACTTATGTTTTACTTTTACATTATGTTTTCTGATTTCTCAAAGCCTCATAATGCCCCTTTTTGCCTTCAAAGAGTTTGTTTGACAGTTCTGTAGCCAGAGGAAATGTGTTCTAATTCTCTTTGAAGGTCCATGTTATTCTCTACACAAACAAGCTTCGTCAGACTTCTCCATTGATATATATCCTATGGCACAGTAAACCTTTTAGTGACCATAATTATTTGACTCTAAAAGTAAACACACCTGTTGAACCGCAATCACTTTATGTATATAGGCCTACCTAACCTCCCAATTAAGTTACTGTATAAGTAGTTAGTTGCTAAGTATTCTACCTTCTGATTGATTAATGACCCTTCTCAAAAATTCTGGGTGAATAAAATAGATTCTACTATTTCCTAATCATGTTATTCTCAAAATTCTCCTATACCTTATAAGAAAGATAGACTTTGGAAGGAAGGTAGATTAACGAGCCTCTTCTGGTTCTTATATTACCTCTATTTGATAGTTGTGGTTATCTTGTAAGTTGCATCATGATGCCTCTGTATTGTTAGCTACTGATTAAGAGATATTCTCTGTGTGCGTGTGTATTGATCAACAACTTCCCGTTTATAATATGAGATTGAAGAAGAAAAATCAGAGGACTTCATACAAATAAATCCTTGAGCAGAAGCTGAAGAAAAGTCAGAATAGTTACAGTTATCCGCTTAAAGGTAAAGGGGTTATCGTGTTCTTTTAGAATATCAAAGCTTATTTCTCAAATACTTCTTTCCTTTGCTAGCACGAGTGGCCTCCGGTTGTTTTGTAAGAACCTTATTTTTGAGCCTTGAATGGATAATTTGGGAGAAGCTAGTGGCATAAAAAGAATTTATGTATATTTTAGCCAGTTCCTATATAGACATGTAGCTATATATACCCCATGGACACTACACTAGACCCAGTTTAATTTTAATCACAGTACTCACAGGGAAGACTCATGTTTTACTGTATCATGAATGATAATTATAAAGTGTGGGAAAAATTCTTCTCTTTGGATGATAAAATTAGATGTCAGTTAGAGAAAGAGTAAATCAGGCTTAGAATACACCACCCGAATCTATAATAAAAGTGGAGAACTCTTAAATATGTCTCTTTTTCTGATGACATAATTTTACATACTGAAATTTGGTGTAATTTTTTTGGCTAACAAGCGCCAAGGTGTTGAATTCATGGCTAATAGAAAAGATGCTTTCAATAAAAACATTATAATTTGCTGATTTCCTAAAGATGGCATTTTCATGGTTTTAAAATTTATCAGTGTCTTAGAGGCATCTCCAGATATCAGTTAATATATGAAGTTCTTAGATTAAACTTTTAGTCCTGACACAATTAATTACTTTATTAAAAACAGAAAGATGGCTTGGATATAAAATCTGTATTTTGATATCAGGAAGCTTTTTGTAGTTTCAGAACCATTGTTCATTTTCTAGTTAGAAATACTGACTTGAGATGGAGAAATCTAGGTCTTACCAAAGATTTAGGCACCTTTCATCCGTAATTGTTCTAGGGACTAGAGCTCTGCAGGGGAGCGCGTGTGGGAGCGTGCGTGCGTGTGTGTGGGGGGGTGGGGAAGGAGAGCGGGGGAGAGAATCAGAAAGCAGGGGAAGAGGTTTGAGGTTTCAAACCACATCAATATATTTAAAACATTCATTTAAGAATTGATTCTTTCATGTTTACAACGTTTTCTTCCATTGGCATCCCTTGTTTTTGGTTTTGTTTTTTTTTTTTTTAAGTCCATCATGCATTATGATTGAAAATCAGCACACAATTTATGGCAGAGAAGTCAGTGAAATTTATAATGTGACAGCGTGATAATAGCCAAGACTGTCAAAATGTGTCAGCCATTCTCTCTAATTAGGCTCATTTGTGTTCTTAAAAGTATCATTTTCTTCGGCTTGCTTACTGGCAGTTTCCTGCGTTTTTTCCTGCATTGTCACATGTTGTACTGTAGCAGTGTTATACTTTCTCATCAGGATTTGGTAAGATTTATCTTGCTTATTGAAGCCTATCAAAGTATATTCAGATATTTTCCAGTGGAAACATATCAGTTTTCATAGGAACTTTTGGCTAGAAGTAATGCTAAGCTACCATGTAAATACTTGGATTCCTTTCTCAATTTTAACTTTTACAGTTAGAACAGAGACAAGTTATAGGGCTTTGCAGCTTTTACAATTTAAAAAACGATGTCCCAGATCATCATCATCTTTTTCTGATCTCATATCTCCCAATCCTCAGTTTTTATTTCTTTTTTCCTTTTTTTTATTGTGGGGGCCTCTACCTCTAGTACTATGTTGAATAGCAGTAGTAATAGCAAGCATTCTTGTCTTGTTCTTGATTCTAAAGGCAAGGCACCTAAATTTTCTCCATTAATTGATGTAGATTTTTGGAAGATTATCCTGTATTATCTTCTGTTTTCTTGCACCTAGTGTTGCTGTTGATATCCCATATCAATCTTGATTGTTTTTCCTATGTGGGTGGACTGCCTTTTCTCTCCAGAAAGTTTTGTATAATTCTCTTTGTGTTCGAGGTTTTTAAATTTCACAGTAATGTGTCTAAGTGTCATTTTATTATCATATATTCTATTTTACACTGTCAGTCTGAAAGAGATTTTTAATTCTGGAAATTTCTTGATCATTATTTTTTTAAAGAAACATTTCTCTTGTTTATTCTTCTCTTTCTGGAACTCATTCTACACCGCTGTCTGCTATATATTTCTTACTTTTACATGTATATTTTAGAATTCTCCCACCCCTGTGTGTTTTGAGTCTCTTTTTTCCTCCTTTGTTTTATTGAGATATAACCTTACACTGTTCCTGATCCTATTCTTAGTAATCTTTTTCATTGGAGCTGACTGGCTCACGTTATTTTTTTCCTAACCAAAGGGCAAATTTGAAAGGACAGCTCATCAGTAGAATTGACTATAGTCACAACACAAATAGTAGTACAGTAATTAGGACACAGAGAGAACCAGTTTAAACATGCAAAGATAGGAAAAAGTAACTGAAACAAACTTGTTCAGAAACCAACAATGATTCATAAGGTTGAGAAAGTAGAGCCAGACAACAGCAAGTGATTTAAAGAGGAAGCCTTTAGGAGTTATATAAGAGATGAGTTTGGGAGATTACAAACTGGGATATCGAATTAATGTACTGAGGTAGGCCATGTTTGTTTCACTGTAACTGAGGAACAGATATGTAAAGTGGTTACATAAGATGGTCAATTGATGAACCGATTTAAAAAAGGCAAAAAACATTGAATCTGAGACAGTGACGAGTATCTTGATCCAGAGTATGACCATGGATAGCCACTATTGTCTGAGAACATACTAAATGCTACACATGTTGCGACGTAGTTGTAAAACTTACAACAGCGCTGCAAGTTGCTATCAACCCATTTTATAAAAGAAACTAAAGCTGGGAGAAGCCCCTGTTCAGATTCTTAAAGCCAGTTAAGTTTGAGCTAATACCATAACATTCTGTTCATCCAGAGGATAGACTTCCAGTAGCCCCAATCTAGAAAACAGTGAAAAGAGGTAGTAATAATAATAATACCTTTTAAAACTCCTAGGCAGCTTCTGAGAAGGGAGGAAAGGAACTGTTCACAAATTTTTCACTAAGAAAAGTGAGAATTTGGTCACTTGCAGGTCCTTATTTGGCTGTGTTCAAGATAAGGAACAAATTAGATTCCAGGAGAGGGGAAGACAAGAAATACTAACCGTCTGTCACTCTGGGGCCTTTCCCGAGGGAAAGCGGAAGGCTATGCTCTTCCTCGGCCCCTAGGCTGTCACTGCGCAGCTGGGCCGTGCCCTGACACAGCGCTGCAGCGGTGACGTCGACGGGACTTGGTCTGTTTCCAGGAGATTTATAGTTAAGTCAATTAAAATTGAAGTTTGGGGTCTTAAAAGGTTGGTCAATCAAGCTTTTGTTAATTGGAAATGTGCTTTTATGGAGCCCTCTCATTTCACAAACTTTTGTCTTTGCATAAAATTTTTTTTACCAGAAGAAAAGACTTTTTGCCTCATGGGTGCTAAACTTCCTAATTTTGTTCTTACTAGAAAAATTTTTGGTGCTTTGATTTGATTTGAGCCATGAAGCTATATGAGGACCAGTTTAGTTTGTGATTACAATATCTCACATGACACTTCCCCTGTGTCAGCATCAGGGATTTTCTTGCTTTGCTCATTTCCCTCCCATTCTCAGAGTGGGTGGCGTGATGGGTGGTGGTGGAGGTGGTGATTTGGATTTCTAGGGCAGGGGTTGGGCAACTATGTCCTGTAGGCCAAACCAGACTCAGTGTTTATGTAAAGCTTCTTTGAAACACAGCCACACTCATTCGTTTATGTACTATATACAGCTGCTTTTAGCTACAATGAGAGTTGAGTAGTCTTGAGAGACTACATGACCTGCAAAGCTTGAAGTATTCACTGTTTGGCCTTTTATGGAAAAATTTGCCACCCTTGTCTTAGATCACCTATTTCTAAAGTGCTTATTTATGTGACCCCTGTGACTGAAGAGCCTTTGCTGTCCATAGGGTGGTCACTAGCCATATGTATCTATTTCAACTTAAATTAATTAATTAAAATTTAAGACTCAGGTCATTGGTAGTAGCCACATTTCAAATGCTCAGTAGCTACATGCGGCTAGTAGCAGCTGTATTGGAGACTGTAGATATGTAATATGTCCATCATCCAGAAAATTCTGACAGCCAGACTGAGCCACTTGGTTCTGTCTACTGTCTCCACTGATAATCCCTACTCATGAGCCTGTTTCTTTCATCTGGACTTATATTCTCTTTTTTTTTCCTGTCTGTAATTTCTTTCAATCCTCTAAGACTTAAGTTTGAATCTGTTTATTTAAATATTAAACATATTAATTTTTCACCATTTTTATATGTTCCTAGTTCACCAGGAAGAATACACAATATTTAAAGGCAGAGACTATGTTCTCTGATGCTTTGCATTATGCATTACACACAATAATCTTTGTCACTGTTGTTTTAATACATACAGGATCTCCCTAAATAGTGTAAAATTATTTCAGTTTTTTCCCCCTTAGGTATAACGAACTGAAAACTTAAAAAAAAAAAAAAGGCAAAGATGGGTGAAAAGAAACCAGAGCCTTTGGACTTCGTGAAGGATTTCCAGGAATACCTGACTCAGCAGACCCATCACGTGAACATGATTTCTGGATCAGTTAGTGGGGACAAAGAAGCAGAGTCTCTTCAGGGAGGTAGACTCATCTTAATCCTATTAAATAATTCACTTTTTATAAATATATTAATGTTTGTGTATAGTTATCCATACTGTGAAGACTGTTATTCACTAATGGGAATCATCCCAGTTTTTTTCTTAAAACGATACAAGGTTGGTTTTTTTCTTTCTTTAAACATGTCAGATTTTTGCTGAGGGAGACTCCCCAAGAGCTTGGCATGGTCTGGAGCTGCTTTCTGGTCTTGTCGGAAGACTAGGGGTTCTAAATACCCTTCCCATCGTCCAGGTTCTGTTAGCTAACAGTGGACACGGGGAATCCACAGGGGTCAAGCCTCAGCTTCACTACATAGAAGATGCAGCCATTAGGAAGTCTGGAGCAGACCTAAGACAGAATGGGGGTTTGCATTCCTTCCCTATTAAAATGAAGAAAGGCTGGCCACGTGTACCCGTTGGGCGGGGGAGAAGAACTAGAGTAGAGAAAGCAGTGGCCCACTGCAGATACACTGTCGCTATTTTGCTTACCACACACACTGGAATTTATTTGTGAACCTAAGTCAGTGGTCTGCAAACTGTAGCCTGTGGGCCCCATCTGGACTGCTGTTTTTGTATGACCTGCAAGCTAAGAGTGGTTTCTACATTTAAAAATGGTTGGAAAAAAATCAAAAGAATAATGTCCTAACACATGAAAATTATGAAATTCAAGGTTCAGTATCTATAACATTTTATTGAAACATAGCCATACTTAATTTACATATTTTCTGTAGCTGTTTTTGTGCTACAACAGCAGAGTTGAGTAGTTGTGATAGAAACCATATGGTCCCCAAAGCCTAAAGTATTTACTGTCTGACCCTTACAGGACAAGCTGGCCTGACCTAGATGGTCTCTGGCCTGGCAGTCTGCAGGCCAGCAGCAGAGGCCCAGGAGCTTGTTAGAAGTGCAGACTGTCAGGCCTCACCCCACATCTGCAGAATCAGTCTGTATTTTAAAATGAGCTCTCTAGCTGATTAATATATACATTAAATTTGGGGAGTCATTGGCATTGGAAAGCAGTGAGAGAGGGGGACAGTGAGCCTTGCCCCCGCCCCGCTCAACGCAGTGGCATCGCTGGATGTTAGCCTTGCATCAACCAGCAGAATCACTTATCTTCTGGTGAGGGGCGGCTGAAACGGTTCTGGCGGAGGGTCACTTAAATTGTTCACAGCAGCAGTGCTGCATCCTGGGGATGGAGTAGAGGTGCTTTCCCCTTGAAGCTGTGGGACTAACACTCCAGTGTGCAGATCCCTGGACCAGGATTCAAGAGACCAGGGTTGTAGCCCCGCTGTTGCTGGTTTTCCTGATTATGAGCACTTGCCCCTTTGGTTTATCTATACAGAGAAGTAGCTGGCTTAGATTAAAAGCAAAGAGCCAATCGTGTATCTTTTAGCTTGCAAATTCTTACAGTTCTAACATTCAGAGGATCAGATACAATATTTTCCTTTATGTGCTTAATTAGAATTTTAAGATCCTAAATGCAACCCAGAATCTAGGACATATGTATCAACTGAGAGGGACAGTGCAAAGCTCAACATTAATTACTTTAGGCTAAAGAAAATGGAGTTAAGATTTTGGGGAGATTTTCATGACTTCCAAGTATATTTGTAGAAGTGTCTAGAATTCTAAACATGTGCATCCATGCCATCACTCTTTACTCTCCTCTGTCTCCTCACCTGTCAAATAAGGATAATACCCCAGTTTTTTTAAAAAAAAGCATATCGAGGACGCATAAAGTTGTAAATAATTTGAGATCCCCCTAAAAAAGGGTTCTTATAAATAGAAGACTTTTTGTATAAAGATAACCTCGGTTTGTAAAGTCTGTATTATTTTACAAATTTAACTTTTAAGCTAAGTAAACTATCAATTTACGAAAGATTTTCTACCTCTTAAGACAAGAAGGCTATATTGAGTTGATTCTGAGATGCATAATTTCTTTTGCTGTACCGTTTATAGCTGGAACAGATGGTGATCAAAATGGACTCGATCACCCATCTGTCGAAGTTTCCCTGGATGAAAACTCAGGAATGTTAGTAGACGGGTTTGAAAGGACCTTCGATGGGAAGCTCAAGTGTCGGTATTGCAACTATGCCAGCAAAGGAACAGCCCGGCTTATTGAACATATTAGAATCCACACAGGTAATGGAGAAGTGGCTGGAGACGGCATTTCTTTAGGGGCAGGAGACAGGCCAAGGAAGTTCTAATAGTTAAAAATGAAGGTTAATATAAAGTTTGAATAAATGGGGACGTTACTCCATTTTTACAAAGCAATAGCCTAACATACAAACAGGAAGTGAGACCTTTTGTAGAGCTTCCCCTTCCTTAGCTATCTTTCTTGATCCACATGTCTCAACATGTCTGCTTCTCAGGCTGGGCAGGTTAATGCTGAAGGCAATACGAAGTGATAAAACGTTTTCATCTTTATCCTTACTGAGCACGTTCCATTTGCAGACTGGGGAAGAGGTTTCTCTATAGTTGCAGACTCCACTGCAAGTCCTCACACCTCACCTCAGCCATCCGTTCTGCTGCGAAAGCCTCCTAACTACGCCTGGTCCTGGCCTAACACCAGTCAGGTGTCCCTCCTGTGTGTGCCACAGTGGCTTCCCACGCTGTGTTGTGTTGGCCTGAAAATCCCTCGAGTACAGGGATTGTCGGTGCCGTGTTTGTGCCTCTGCAGCCTAACAGGGCATGTGACACATAGTAGGTGCTCAGTACTTAATTGTCAAATGAGTGACTCCACATCTCATATTCCAGATATTTATTTTACATTTTTGGCCATCTTAAACTAACAGTACTAACAATGTCCCTTATGGCAACTGAAGAGGAGGAAGGTAGAGGTGAAGCTGGCAATTTTGCATAACTCATACTCTGACTAGCAAGCCCATTTCAATTTTGAACTTTCTATTTGATAAAAGGACTTCTTAAAAGTATTTTGCATTTTCCTGAGGAAGAAGTGTGTGTGCGGTGTACAAACACGAATAAGGGTTTGTGTACAGATATATACATGAACATATAACTGGGGCATACTTTTGATAAAATCACTATTATGTAGAGAATATTACTGTCAGTTGTGCTATTCTTTCCTCAAATGCTAGTTGAAGCCATAACAATTTTTACACTATATTGACTAATAGGATATATCTGTATCTCAGACTGTTGCTGATGAGGTCTAAGCAAATTCATTTGCAGGTTTCTTTACAAATTTGAATAATCTTTTGTGCAAATGTGAATTTCTGAAAAGCACTTTCTTTTTGATCAATTCCAAATCTAATGAATGGACAAAATGTGAATCTTTTCATAAATGAGCTACTCTTGCAATTTCTCTCCCATTTTGCTTTTTAAACAGGTGAGAAACCTCATAGATGTCACTTATGTCCATTTGCATCTGCTTATGAGCGTCATCTGGAAGCCCATATGCGTTCCCACACAGGAGAAAAACCGTACAAATGTGAATTATGTTCCTTCCGCTGCAGTGATCGAAGTAACCTGTCCCATCATCGAAGGCGCAAGCATAAAATGGTACCGATTAAAGGTACTAGGTCTTCTTTAGGCAGCAAGAAAATGTGGGGTGTTTTACAGAAGAAAACAAGCAATCTGGGCTATAGCAGAAGAGCACTCATCAACTTGAGTCCACCTTCTATGGTGGTTCAGAAGCCAGACTACCTTAACGATTTCACTCATGAAATCCCGAACATCCAGACTGACTCCTATGAAAGTATGGCGAAAACCACATCAACTGGTGGTGGCCTTCCAAGAGACCCCCAAGAACTCCTGGTTGATAACCCTTTAAATCAGCTCTCCACTCTGGCAGGACAGTTGTCCAGTTTGCCACCTGAAAACCAAAACCCCGCATCCCCAGACGTAGTGCCGTGCGCTGACGAGAAGCCATTCATGCTGCAGCAGCCCCCTGCCCAGGCCGCAGTGTCCGCCGCGCCAGTGAGTGTCCCTCACAGCTCCTCCCCCACCAGCCCCGAACCTCGGCCGACCCACAGTCAGAGGAACTACAGCCCCGTGGCGGGTCCAAGCAGCGAACCGAGTGCCCACACGAGTACGCCTAGCATAGGAAACAGCCAGCCAAGTACTCCGGCTCCGACCCTGCCGGTCCAGGACCCGCAGCTTCTGCACCACTGCCAGCACTGTGACATGTACTTTGCCGACAACATCCTTTACACCATTCACATGGGATGTCATGGGTATGAAAATCCTTTTCAGTGTAACATATGTGGATGCAAATGTAAAAACAAGTATGATTTTGCCTGTCATTTTGCGAGAGGGCAGCATAACCAGCACTGATGGGAAACAATCACAGGACGCTTCATGTGGCTTTGCCTTTTGTGTTTCGTAGTTTTATGTTTTTTTTGGGGGGGCGGTCCATCCCTAATAAGATGTCTGCTAATTTAAAGTTTATACATTATATTTATAAAAAACAAATTTGACAATGGAAACAAAATTTTTTCCTTTTTTTCGTAAAATTCTAGTCAGGGTCACTTAGGTGTTAGAACATTTGGACACACTGGTGTCTATTTTTTCCTTTTAGTTAGACATTTGAGAATTGAAGTGCAATCTTAATCTTACAGGTATTCATTTCAATTTCCCACATTCATAGTCCATAAAAACGTCAAAGCTTATCGATAATCTTGATATTTCAATATATACACTGCAGCTAGATTTTATTTCTGCCATATCTCAAAATAAATTATTTTCTCTTACAAAATCTGTTACAATTTATTTCATTGTTGAGTAGAGGGATTGCCTTTAAAATTGATCTCAATTGAAAATACTGCTTCGTTCACATGGTTTAAGTTGAATTAGTAAAGCTAAATTGATAATAGTAAAGCTATTTCAGTGTAAGTAAACCTTACTCTTTTCCATAAGGGGCACTGTAAAACAATTAATTGTTTTGAAATTAAAGTTATAAAAACATGAGATAAAACTTCTGAAAAGAAATGAACTTAAGGCTTTACATTAAATGGAACTTAATATTTAAAATACCTGTTTACTCGATTTCTAGTTTAAACACGTCAATTTTCCATCAGATTCTTTTCTAGATTATTTTAAAAACCACAGGTAATACATGAGAACGTGAGAAATGTCAGAGGATTATCTATGAAGATGCCTTTTTTCCCTTTTGAAACTTTGATTTAAATCCTTCATTCTGACGTTATTAATGTCAGGTGAGGTTGACTAAGAATCTGTTATTCCTCCTATTCCTTTGATGACCAAAGAGGTACAGTGGAAGTCATCCATCTTACTCCTAGGAAATGCTCTCCTTAGGAAAAAAAAAAATCTCTGAAGTTTTCTTTTCCTGCCTTATATCCATTTATTGTCCATAATTTCCCCCCAAAGGTGGGTATAAAAACATATGGAAAAATGTGATGGCGAAGTAATATTTAAAAAACCGAGAACATATATCCAAAATGAATTCCGGTCTCCTCTTCAGAATTGGCCATTTAAAATATTTTGTGTGAATTCATGTTGTAACACGTATTTGCAGTTTTATCAGTCTTTCCTGTACAGTGACAAAACTATACGGAAACTGTGATTAGTAGGAAAGGATACAAAAATGTGAAAATAGATATAAAATGCATTTAAGCATGATATTTATTTACAAAAATAAGACTTGCTAAATCTAGAGTAATTTTGAATAGGAGGCTACTGTTTATGTTTTGTGTCATAACTAGGTTACTCTGAAGAGAGCTTGGTCAAACAATAAAATATATTATTACTAACTGTTGGTTTCTGTGTACTTTGCAAAGATTTTAATTTTAATTTGGTTCAAAGCTTGAGAGTGTTACTAATTGGCTTCATAAAAAAATGTCCTAACTATTAAGCATTTATTAACCAAAAAGGACCACTACTGTTACAATAAAGAAGAGGGGAAATACAGTGTATGTCCACATAAATAAACCCTTAAGTGCCAAGTTCCTGGATCTTCTGCCCTCCCAAATGCTGGAAAGCCATTAAAACGAGCTCTTGTGGTTTAAGATCCAATCTAAACTAATCTCAATTGCATTGTTCAAAGAAGTAGCATCTCAAAGAGTCTCTCCGAACAACCATACCTCTCTTCCTTGTCAAATCTGAGGCTTGTGCATCTAAAATTCTACAGTCCTGTTCTGCTCTGTTGCTTAAATTGCTCACTGCTCAGATCGGTTCTAGTGCAGCCATTCCCAGATGTATAACTCGGCTGCAGTATTTATTTACTGCCAGAAACAGGCTGCTGTCATTTGTAAGCTTTTGTGATTACTTTTTCCCTCTCACTTCTATTTTATTCTTCAAATAAAAGCAATACCCAAAATAGAACATGAAAAATTTCATTCAAGAGGAAGAATTCTTAAAACCAGTAGATTAACTCTCTATTCTGGGCCAAATAGTGACAAATAAATACCTTTTTTTCCTGACAAAGAAAAATATTTTGAAGGTGCATTTTAAACATAGAAAAAAATTTTTTCATAATTACAAACTAGAATGAATGATACTAACTTTCCTATGACTTAAAGAGCACAGTAGGTATTCCAAAGGTGTCAATGCTTGAAAGCTACAATGCTAAATGCACTAAAGGTTTGGAAGCAAATCTACCTTAGAAACTTCTTTAGTATTGTATTTTTTAAGAGATATAAGATTTTATTTAAATTTTCAGTGAGTTAAATTCTGTATTTGGAAAGATGTTAGTATCCTTCATTAAGTACTAAATGCATTTGTCCCATTTTACTTTTCATCAACTATTTTATAGAATGAGTTGTTGGGAAAAGTTTAACATGCACTATTTATAGTACTTTGCTGTTAACAGGCAATGTTCTGAAACTAAATTTATTTTTGTTCAGTGAACATAAGTTTAGATTTTTAAAGTTGGTAGATGATTTATCTCCACTAATATTTTTTTAAGAAACTGTGAAGAGATTAATAGGGAATAATTTTATTTCAGATTTTACTAATATAGTATATAGCTACAACTTCTTGAAATTCAAGTTGAAATAAAAGGCTAGACTTTTACTTTAAAAAAATTCCATTGGATATTTTCCAGTGCTATTTCATTTTAGAAATGTGTTTGCCATTCATCTGCAGAATTGTTTAACAAAGGGAATATTACTAAAGAAATGTTCAGAGAGAAACCTCATTTTAAGTTCTACAAAAATATTTATCAAATGGATGTATTATTTTTTAAAAATTCCCTGCTAAGGACTTTTTCATTCTATAGTCTTAGAGGATATGTGATTTCTAGAACTTGTTTTTGTCAATATGTACTTTGATGTAAAGAACGTATTTTGTATGCCAAACTTAAAGCTCAAGTATGGTTGCAAAACACTATATTGTTTAGGAGTTCCAGGGAGCCGTTTAATGCTGAAATAACCATACCTAGTATGTAGTTCACTTTGTGAAAGCTTTGCTTTTGTAATATATAAATAAAAATATAACACTTTCTAATGATCTCGATTTTTCTTTTTGAAAACTAGGATCCAATTAGTTCTCTAGTTTTTTTCCAGCAAGTAAAATATTAAAAAAAAAAAAACTTATGGTTTCATGAGTTTGAATTTGTAGAATGCCTTGCCCATGAGAAAATCTATCACATAAGTGACAAATAAAAACAGCTCCGTACACCTGCGTTTTGTCTCCTTTCGCGTATCTGCTTTATTTAAGAACCATGCATTGTGGCTCCTGCCCCTCCCAGCCCTGCCCTAAGTGTTTGGCACGTTAAAGATGAAGGCTGCTTCTGACGCTTGATTATCTGTGTCACATCTGACAAGTGACAGACTGAAGTAATTTGTTACAACAAATGGATCTTTTATGACGACTGATTTTTATAAAATATGTCTTTGGCAATTCACATCTTGGGCCTAGAAAACAATTCACAGCATGGGCCTAGTAATATAAAACTGTAATTAGTTTGCAAAACTTTTTTTTTTTTAGGCGAGGCAACCCTTGGTTGACCTCACAGATTGCAAGGACCTTGTCAGCTTACAATCCCTTTATTTTTTTTTATTTTCTATGCCTACAGCACCTGGTCTTCCTAGGTAGTCTCCCATCCAAGCACTAACCAGGCCCGACCCTGCTTAGCTTCCAAGATCACACGGGATCGGGCTTGTTCAGGGTGGCATGGCTGTAGACAGTTTGCAACATCTTAACCAAATTCAGACATTTGATTGGAAATTCAGAAATTTTAATGCTGCTTTGAAAAATACTTCCTCACAATGTTATCTTTCTCATAATGAAAAAAAGAAATAACATCTGATATGTCAATGGTTTGTTGAACGCACAGATATTTTCTGTTTCCTTCTCTTAGGTCTTCCAAAAGCTCCGCTTTGAGCTTGTTAAGTTCTTCTGCCAGAAGCTTCAAGTTGTAAGGAAGTACTTGTTCATCTAAAATAAAGATATTCTAAATTATTTGTGTAAATTAAATCAAGCTGGGTTATCTAATGACATCAGGAACTTAATTTGATTACTTCAGACAAACCAGATTCTGTAAATAATCACAATACCCCTGAGTTGCTTTAACATGTAAACAAAAGGTCACATAACGTGATACGAGCAAATCACAACTTGCTATGAAATTCCTGAGCGGAAAAGACAACTCTGAAAGAGATTTTTTTTCTTGTTGACTTACAATCTTATGGAACTAACAGGTAGTAGGGCAAAAAAGCAGAGATAGGAAATGACTATTTGTTTTTGAAACTGATCTCACCTACAACAGTTGTCCAATGTAACTTTATACGATGACAGATGTTCTGTATCTGCCCTATTCAATCCAGCAGCCACTTGCCATGCGGGTAGTGTGACTGGAGAACTGAACTGTTTTGTTAAACAGCTCGAGATATAATTCACATACCATACAACTTATCCATTTAAACTACAAGTCAGTGGTTTTAGTATATTTAGATATGTGTAACTATCATCACAATTTTAGAATATTTCATCATCTCAAAAACCTGTACCCTTTAGCTGTCACCTTGCTACCCCACCCTCTACCTCTCCCAATCTCTAAGCAACCACTAATCTGTCTCTACATTTACCTATCTGACATTTCACATGACTGGAATCATATACTTTGTGGTCTTTTGTGACTGGCTTCTTTCATTTTGCATAATGTTTTGAGGTTGTAGCATGTATTGACTGACACTTCATTCCTTTTTATGGCTGAATAACCCATTCTGTGGCTAGACCACATTTTGTCCATCTATTCGTCAGCTGATGGACACTGAGGTTGCTTCCTATTTTGGCTATTATGAATGATGCTGCTATAAACATTTGTGCACACATTTTTATGTGAATGTACATTTTTCATTAATCTTGAGTATGTACCTAGGGGTAGAATTGCTGGGCCCCATGGTAACAGTACGCTTAATTGCTGGAGGAACTGGCAGGCTGTTTCCAAAGCAGCTGTACCATCTGATATCCCCACCAGCAGCGCTTGAGGGCTGTGATCTACCCACATCCTCACCAACACTACATGTTTTGATTCCAGATGTCCTAGTGGGTGCACAACATACTCATTGTGGCTTTGATTTGCATTTCCCTGATGACTAATGATATCTAGCGTGTTTTCATGCAATTATTGGCCATGTGTGTATCTTCCCAGAGAAATGTCCATTTGAATCGTTTTTGCCCATTTTAAAAATCAGATTATTTGTCTTCATTACTGAGTGTTAAGAGTCCTTTATATATTTTTGACACAAGTTCCTTCTAAGACACTTTATTTGTAAATATTTTCTCCCCTGCTGTGAGCTGTCTTTTTAATTTCTTGAGTGAGATAACGGCACTTCTAATTTTTTTAAGCACCCATCTAGAAGCTGGTACCACCTCCCTCACCAAAAAAAAAAAAAAAAAAAAAAATTACTTGAATGGATAGGAAATGAATCAAGAGTGATTTGGGCATAATCCTATTCCCCCTTCCCTTCGTGAAAAAAGGCAAAGGGCTGAGACTGAACTGCAACTACTTTTGTTTCTATCCTAATTACGCTGCCACTTCTGTTCCAGTCCTGTTTTTCATACTTTGGTTTGAAACTCATCAGTGAGTTGCAAGTTGCAACCAGTGTTGGAATCAAATAGCACGTGGCAGAGTTCATTACACACGTGAGGGTTTGCGAAATGTGTCTCTGTGCGTGGCTGTCTTCATGTACTTACATACAAGGTTACAATATAAAATTTACTTACAAATCATGGTTAAAAAAAAAGGTTGAAAAACAATATTAGTGTATTTTCCTTTTGCAAAGTGTGGGTGCTGTGGGGGAGCATAATAGGAAGTACAGACCAGTCAGACTCAGCTCTGAACCCCAGCATGCCCAAGTACACTATTTAGTAGCTGCTTAGTTTGGGGTAAGTTATGTGATCCTCTCAGAACCTTCGTGCCCCCATTTATAAAATTAAACCTACCTTATAGGATTGTAAAGACTAGAAAATTATATTTATAAGGCACTTAGCATATAAAAGGAGCTGAAGAAATGTTAAGCTGCTGTGATTTTTTTACATCGAAGTTTAAATATAGCAAAACCTAAAGGTTTTTTAAAAAGATTATAAAACCTAAAGGAATTATAAAACAATAATTACCACGTATTTCATCTCGGCCTAGACTGACAATATATTGAGCCTGTTCAAACCTTATGCTGATTTTACACCTGGTCCCTGACTTCTCCACTGTTCCTTACTTTACGCCGACTCAGTGGCCTCTTTTCTGTTCTAGAACATGCCAAACAACTTTACCTCCGGGCTTCTGCACTTGATGTGTCCACTCCCTGGAATGATCTTCCACGTATCTGCACGGCTTGCTCTTTCCTTCATGTCTTTGCTTAAATGTCACTTCCTCTGAGAAGCCTTCCTGATTAACCCTTAGAAATAAGTCTTCCCATCACTCTACCCTGCCTTACCCTACTTTATTTTTCTTCAGAGTATATACTCATTCTTTTTTGTCTGTCTCCTCACCTTAATGTTCTGCTCCTTCCCAACTTCTCAGTATCCAGAAGAGTACAGGGTAGCCACTCCATAAGAATTTACTGGATGGCTGAGTACCTGGTTCCAGGGGTAGAATTTTTAGTTCCATATAACCAAGTTGCAGATTTAAACAGAAAACGTGATGTAAACCTGATGGCCAAGCATTGAGGGAACGAGAGTGGCAACCACTGTATCACTCTGGAGCAGTGCGACTCCTCGACATACCTTTCGCTTCCTTCATTGCCTGAGAGACAATTCTTCGGAGTGCCTGATCAGCTTGATGAAGAATGTTCGTTGAACAGATAGTTCGGTCCGTTTCCTGTGTAACACAGATGCCATTGTTAGAACCGTCGGACGCAGAAGCCATGGCTGAAGTGGGGGTGACGCGGAGGTGAAGAGTAAAAGAAAAGTCGAAGTGGCTTTTCTGTTCCTGTTATTTTTCTTCCGTAAGAGACGGTCTAAATTAAATGCGTTCAGTTATAAACTGGGTTCCATCTGGGCAGTGGGATGTTGGTAAATGTCCAATAATGGGCTCTCCAGAAAAAACAACAACAACAAAACCGATCTGTAGTGTTTGTCGATTTCTGTGGTGTAAATGGTGCCATCCTTACTCCTCTCAAGCTACTAACACAATGTCGGCAGACGCCCATTCCTGAAAATTTGACAGCTTTGACCAGCCAGTGTGAGCGGCCACCACTGTACCAGGGACCAGAAGCTGGGTGCTGGTGAGAGGCCAAGGCAGTGCCAAAGCATCTTTCACACTTTACTCATATTTTACACTCGGCTCAAAAAAATCCTCCTGCGAGAAGCTGCTTCTTCTCATTTATGCTAAACCTAAAGTGGAAGGCTTACCTTTTGTTCCACATTGTCCTCGACATATTTTACTGGATTTTCCAAAGCAGCGAGCAATAAATCAGTCAACTCTGGGCTGTAAGAGAAGGTGGGATAAAATAAATCCTTATAGCAAACATCTGTTTTCAAAGAATTTGTGTTTATGAACACCAAACTGAATTCTAGAGGAATAAAAATGTTAATAATCCAAGATCCCAAACAAGAGGTAAAAAACGAAGCGATTTGGAAGCTACCTTCTACCTGCAAAATCGAAATGGAGAAGCTTAAAACAAATCATAAGCCCAAAAGACCCCTCATTAAAAATATATTAATTTCCAAAGATCTATCAAAAAGCTTTGAAAAGACATTATTTCTTTTCCCTCATTAAGTGCTAAGCTTTAGCTACTGGAATTCTATTTCTAAAGAAAGATGCTCTATCTTTACTTTCTGTCATCTGCTCATTTACTGGGTGGATTAGCAAAGTTCCTCACTTGTCCAGGGGCCATGGAGGGTTGGGGTGAAATTCATTCATTCGTTTAACAAATATTTATTGAACACCTTATATGAAAAATACTGTACAACTATGTATATGAACCTATGTGCTAAGCTTGGAGTGAAGCAAGAAGCCTACCCTCTCCAAGAGGCAATGTAATGGAGAGAGACAGATAATAACAAGCAAAAAACAATTATTTCAGGCAGTGACAAGTAGTAAGTGAGTTAAGACAATACACGCAGTGATAACGATGACAGTGACTGGGTACTCTAATTAACTTGATGGTTAGTTAGGATGCTCAGGGAAGCCAGTCAGGCATAAACAGTGGAAGGGTAGAGGGGACAGCAAGTGCAAAGGCCCTGAGGCAAGAACAAGTTTCTTGGGTTCATGTAACAGAGAAGTCTAGTTTGGATGAAAAGTGGCAAGGGGAGAGAGCGCTCTAGGATATGAGGGTGGGGAGTGAATCAGGGTTAGAACGTGTAAGTTATGGCATGACCTTTGAATTTTACTCAGAGTACAAGGGGTGGCACTGAAAAAATTTAGAGGAGTGAACTCACTGAGTTAAATCTCAACTTCAAGATGACTTTTCTCACTGAAGAGAGCCCAGGTTCTAGAGTGAGTGAGACTGCACTGGGTCCAAATCTTGGCTCTGCCACTTACTACCAGGAAGTGTTACTGCACTTACCTGGGCCTCAGTTATCCCATCTGTAAAAAGGGGACAACTGTGTCTACTCCCAAAGGGTCACTGTGAAGACTGGATGAGATTATACACACGAAGTGTTAATGACATGGTATCTGCTCAACATAGTATTTGCTCAACAGCTGCTGAGAACAGTAGTAGGATTTCATAGGAGCCTGGGAAAGGTACATTTGTCAGATCATCTATCGACTTCTAATTCAGGGCCACCAGACTACAAACAACCTGCTCACGATTATGTGGTAGTTATTTTGGATATGTGAGAAAAGGCAACCAGGTCCTTAAGACCCACGACGAAACTGCGGATTCTGCTAAGGGTTGACATGGCATCGGAGAAGCCCACACTGTTCCTTGCTTCTCGCAAGAACTGGCCGTCACTGGTCTGAAAGCACGGATAACTTTATGCTGCTCTCATGGGATATGGCGATGTCTCAACTAGCCACTTGCTTCCAAAGGAAAGATTTTAAATAGTACTAAATGAGTAGCAATCGAGAGGTTGTGTACCTGCTCAAAGTTTCAAGATATTACGAGAAGTTAAAATTAGAAACCTCAGCAGTAGCTTATTTCATAAACCCTATAAACGATAGTGACTTCAATCCAATTTTTTTTAGTATGTAAAAGTATATATTATGAAATGCATGGAAATCGTATCCTAGGACCTAAACATTTTGAAGACTGAGTTTTTAAAAATTAGCCTTTAAAAGTTGCTGATGCCCTGTGAACAACCGTTAGGAGCTGAGGGACGGTGGGCAATCTACCTGTAGAAGTGCACTGTTTGATACAGCAGCCACTAGCCACATGAGGCTATTTAAATTTCAAGTAATTAAAATAAGATTTAAAATTCAAGTCACCAGTTGCCCTGGCTACGTTTCAAGTGCTCACTAGTCGCTTATGGCTGGCAGCTACCATACTGGACGGTGCAAATGTAGAACATTTCATCAGCATAAGAGTGAAATTTTTATTAGAAACGCAGTGCTGTAAAAGTCTCACGACATATATCATGAATAAAATGCATCAGACACCACGGCCACAAGCCTTACCTATACACAAGCAGCCTAACTATAGCAGGCTTTAAGGCAAAATTAGGATTCAATACCAGTTCTTTTTTTCTTTGAGAAAACTACTGGGCAACCTATTTAGACTAGTATTCTATTTTAGCAAGAGTACCAAAAATATGCCCCACTCTGAAGTCCCTGCTCTGACCTCTGGGAGATGGAATCTGAACAAGAGCACACATCTGCAAACAGATTCGTGTTCGAATCTCAGCTATCACAAGCTCAGTGATGCTGGGAAAACTAAACTTTCTTTTTCTCTTCTATACAAAAGGGGATAAAACAACATCTCCCCAAGGCCTGTGTGAAGGTTCACCAAGTGGACGCAAGTAAAGCATTTAGCACAGTGCCTGCCTCAGGGAGACATCTAGTAAAGGATGGCTTTGAGTAGGATACCTGGGCTCAGAAGCACATGCTGGACTCTGAATGGTGAGGCTGTTGTGTTCCCAAGCATTTTTCTCAGGGTTGGGCTCTTCTATCTTTCTTCCCATCAGGTGGATGGTCTCTGCAGGCAGTGGCCGGGGTCTCTGTCCATTCCTCTGCAAACAGGTCTCGAGAGAACAATCTAAAAAGAGCTGGCAAAAGCCTAATGAATCTGAAAACAATTTGAAACCACAAGGATTACTTGTGTGCTATTTTCCAAAACGTGAAATCAACATATGAGACAAAACTATCCCAGCTACAACAGGGAAGACCATTTGCAAACCTGAATATCTAGCTTTGAAAATTAAGTCATCCATATAAACCTCCCAATCTAGTTAAATTTTCAGTAGAGAGAGTAACAATTTTGATATGCAAATAAATGCCTCTGTGCATAAGAAAAAAACGTTTTAATTACATTTCCGAGCCAGTTGGTAGACTTCGTATCTCATACTTTGATAATAAAAGTTGTCATCTAAAATCAAAAACAAAGGTCTAAAAAGAGCAGTCTTTGTTAAGAGGTAGCAAGACTGGGCTTCAGGCGCTGCAGAAGATATGAGATCTTGCTCTTTTAAGCAGGTTATAAAATCTTCCCACATGGCTTCAGTCCTGTTGGGTGGGGTAGCCATCTGACACCCATTAATCACAGCCAGCAAGAAGTATTCTAAGTACTTCAACAGCTCCTGTCGAAGCAATTTCCACTGGGATGGCTACAAAAGACCAAAGAATTACAATTTACATTCGGCTTTGGCCAGTAAGGCAGTTATACTTCATTGCCACCAGACCCCATATGAAACTTTCATCCCACAATACTGAACTGAACCATTTGGCGTTCTCTAATTTAAACACATCTTGTTTTCCCACGCCTCCGTGTCCTCCCATATATCGTGGAGTCTGCCTGGAAATTCCTCAATGATGCTAGGTCTCTGTGGACTCTTCTCAGACTCAACCATGCAGAAGGCAGCTCAGACCCTCTCTTGCCCGTCATGACACCCAGTTGTGTACATATAGGGTCTCCACTCTAGCAGGGTTTACCATGTAGGCATTTCTTTGCGCATCTGTATGTCTCTGCTAGTCTGCTGTACACCTAGCCTCCCGCAGAGGGTCTAGCACCAACTGGTGCTCCAGAAATGTATATTAAATGACCGAATGACAGAACAAGTGAATAAATGAATGTAAAGCTGTTACCACCCAGGAGAGGAGGGGGCTTTCCACCTAAGCCTGTCTTCAGGCTCCACTGTAAACACAACGCATATACGCCCCAAACATACGTATAAACCTCTACAACGAATTACTCGAAGACAGAGTCAACTCGCTCTGTGTTAACGGAGCTCCACTTTCCTGCGCCGTAACCCGCCTGGGCCACACCAGGTACCGCGCAGCGGGTGTGGGAGGTTGCACCCGTTCTTCCGCCGCCGCAGCCTAGGCCCCGCCCCCTCTCCGTACTGACCAATGGCCGTGCGCCCGCCTTCTCGAGGAACGCGTCCGGCATGACGTCATCATAGGCGACGACGCCCGCGGCCCAGCCCCGCTCGAGCCGCAGCTGGTGGCTGAGGGCTCGCGCGAAGGTCGATTTTCCTGCTGCGGGCAGACCGCAGAGGACGCAGAGCCCCAGCTTCCGCGGCCCCTCGCCGCGCGCTCCTCTGGCGTCCTCGCCGGCCTTCATGTCCTCCCGGGAGCCGGTGGCTGGGAGCGTCGGCTCCGGCGCCGGCCTCCACCCGCGCATGCGCATCTCCCGTCGCCCTCGGGCGCCGCCTGGTGCCGCGAGGGAGGAACCTGCGAGTCTGAATCCGAAACAGGGGTGGTGGGCGTACCCGCCGACGCCGGAGGCGCTGGCGTCTGAGCGCTCTGCGAGGCGAGTCCTCCAGGCTGGGGAGGCCACGGCGATGCGTTTCCCAACTCTCGGACATTTCCTAAAGAGTCAGAGAGTTGAACTTAAGCTTCAGTTAGAATCATCCTCCCTGGCGGAAACTCGCAAGCCATTAGGAACTGCACCTCGAATTTATTACAATGTAGTCACCTGTCCAGGAAAATCCCAGAAGCGTCTTTGAACCTCTTCCTCCAGCGGTCTTCGGAAAGTCAGTTACCGGAATCAAAGGCTAGGAGGAGAAGCTGAAAGTCCGACACCGCGCCCCTCTTTGATGTGATGGGCGGAAGGACAGAGTCAATGTTAGTTGCGCCCTAACGCCACGAGTGCGGGGAGCAAGTGCGAGGAAATAAGGGGAGGAAAGGGACATCCCTAGACCTCAGTTCCGGTGGTTTCCTGCAGAGGACAGTGGGTGGCTTAGTGTCAACCATGCGAAGCCGTGGAGAGAGAAAACATTCCTTGTATAGGATGTGTAGAAAAACCGGATTCAGATTCTAGCTTTCACCTTGTTTAGGGGAGTACTTCTTAGTCGTAGGGAGGTACGGTCAAAATGTGAACAAGTGAGGTTAGATCAGTGTATATTGGGGCAGACTACCGCCAATAACAATGCTAAATCATATAATTTGTGATGACAGAGCATATGCGCGTTATCTTTTTCTCTCGAAGGTGAGCATTTGGTTAAACATACTCTTCATGATATTTTGTCACTAGTCCAGTGCAAGATTCCTCTTAATTATGTTGTCTCCCATCCTCCACAGCCATACCCATTTCCTCCCCTTTCCCCAGGCAACATTTTATTTTTTCCTTTTAAAAAATACTATTTTTGTTTCTTATGATAGGTTTTTTTGGAGCAGTTTTAGGTTCGCTGCAAAATTGAGCAGCAAGTACGGAGTTCCCATACAGCTTTGCTTTCCACACTCGACTCCTTCCCTAGCAGTATTCCCCAGAGAGCGATACATTTGTTACAATCAATGCGCCTACTCATCCTTATCACCCAAAGTCCAGTTTAAGTTGGGTGCACTCTTGTTATAAATTTCATGAGTTTTGTCAGATGTATGACATGTATCCACCATTTTAATGTCATACAGGTTAGTTTCACTGCTCTAAAAGTCCTCTGCGCTTTACCTATGCATCCCTCCCTGTTGCCTAACCCCTGGCAACTACTGATCTTTTTACACTCGCCACAATTTTGCCTTTCCCAAATGTCACATAGTTGGACTCATACGGCCTTTTCGGATTTGCTTCTTTTAGTTAGGAATATGCACTTAAAATTCCTCCATGTCTTTTCGTGCCTTGAGAGTTCACATCTTTTTAGTACTGAGTAACAACCCATTGTCTAAACCAGTTTATTTGTCCATTCGCCTGCTGAAGGACATCTTGGTTTTTTCCAAGGGTTGATAACTATGAATAAAGCTGCTATAAACCGTGCAGATATTTGTGTGGACATAAGTTTCAACTTTTGGGGTAAATGCCAAGGAGCATGATTGCTGGATCTTACAGTAAGAGCATTTTAGTTTTCTAAGAAACTGCCAAACTGTCTTCCAAAGTGACTGTGCCATTTTGCATCCCCACATCCTGACCAGCACTTGTCAGTGTTGTAGATTTTAACTATTCTAACAGGTGTGTAGTATCTCATATTAATTTTCAATTCAATAATACATGATGTTGAGCATCTTTTCATGTTTATTTGCCATCTGTACATCTTTTCTGGTGAGGTGTCCAGATCTTTTGCCCTTTTTGAAATTGGGTTGTTCATTTTCTTACTGTTTCCAATATTTTCAAGTTACAAACAATCCTGATATGAATAAACTTGGACATATATATTTTTCTATGTTATTTGACCTGTATGTTCAGTAAATTCTTAGAAATAGGATTGCAGAGTCAAAAGATAAATTCATATGTAGTTTTGTTAGATATTGTTAAATTTCCCCTCCAGAGGGTTGTATCTGTTGGGAGAAGCAATCTACCACATGCTCCGAGTGTGCCTGCATATTCTTGTTGGGTATCTCAAGAATGTAAGGCCCTGACTACTCTTTACCCCAGTCATTTCTCGGTTCCCGTTGCATCTACCAGCACTGCAAGATGAAGTAATGTCTTCAGACAGACAGCAAGTTCGCAATGAAAGCACCGAATCCTTCATGTTCAATGTTCCTGTTTCGTAGTGCAGGCCACTATGTTTAGGCATCCATCATCAGTCCCTTATGTCATCCCTATGGGACTTGGGGAGAATGGGAAACTGACACAATCTAATACAAAGCTCTGGTGACAGCCTTTGCAATGAGTAATAAGGTCCTTTTCCTTGAAACCAGTAGTCTTCTATTTTCTGCTATTGACCATGAAAATTAAACAGCCTCTAGCTTATTCGCTTGTAAGTATGATTAAAACCTCAGATCCTGCACAGTTCATGAGTTTTGGTGATGACGATTGAATGCAGAGACATTGCTTTTTGGAAAAAGGACAAAAGGACTTTGGGCCGGGTTAGGGAATCTGAGGAGACTCCCCAGGATCTGGAAGCAAATGCTCTTGTTCAAGTGCAGTGTGGCAGGGTAAGAGTCCCCCAGGGTCCTATTATATCTTTAGAGGCCAAGCAGGAAAAGGCAGGGTTGAGACAAGCTGCTCAAATGGACCTTAGTAGTTGTTCCTTGAGGTGGGAGAAGGAATGCTATGACGATGGGACAAATGGCAGTACGTCTGTGTCAGCAATGAAAAGGAATGAATTGTGGATGCACGCCACAGCTCCGGTGGCTTTCAAGGACGTTATACTGTGTGACGGAAGACAATTTCAAGGGGTCACCTGCTGTATGATTCCATTTGCACAGGCATACCTCGGAGGTGGTGTGGGTCCAGTTCCAGGCCACTGCAATAAAGCAAGTTTCACAATAAAGTGAGTCGTGATCTCTTTGCTGATGGAGGGTCTTGTCTTCAATTTGTAAAACACAACATCTGTGAAGCGTGCTAAAGCGAAGCTTAATATATGAGGTATGCCTGTATAACTGTCTCGAAATAAAATTGTGAAATGGAGACCATATTAGAGGTTACCAAGGATTAGGGATGGAGAGGATTTGAGGAGTGGATGTGACACTAAACGGGTAGGAGAAGAAAGATCTTTATAGTTAGGAAATAGTTCGGCTTCTTGATTGTGGCGACGTTGACATGAGTGTGTGTACGTGTGAGAGCGCGTCACACACACACTGTACTCACACAGTTTTCTGGTTTTGATGGGGACGGTAAAAAGTCAGGTAAGATGTAGCCATTGGGGCCACTGGGTGAAGGGTCCTAGGGAATCATTCTTTACAACTTCCTGTGAATCTATAATTATTTGAAAATAAAGTATTTTTTTTAATCTTTCATATTTTCTAGAGTAATGGTTCTCAAACATTTTGGTCTTTCCACTCTTAAAATTGAGGACTCTAAAAGAACCTTTATTTATGTAGGCTCTATAAAATTATTTAGTTGTTTAAAAATAACAAACCCATTATATAGTCATATAATTTTGGAAAGATATATATTTTCCCAAAAACAGATTAGTGAGGATGGTATCGTTTTAAGTTTATGCAAATCTATGTTAGTTTCTGCTTGGATTCTCATGTATGTTCATCAGAGCACGTCTAGTCAGCAGCCCCTGTGACCGCAGCAGGACTGAGAACAAACTGAGTTAACCTCTGACACACACTTCTTCATACCCTAAACCTACCACCTTAGCAAATTCCAGAAACAGAAGAACAGACAACCACACATTCTACGTTAGTCACAACAATGACATTACACATCATGTAGCCTCTGGGATAGGTCACTGTACATTCATGAGACTATGAGGATGAAAGCTTCGAATAACCTGTTAGTGTTATTACAAAAAGGCTTTGACCTCATGGAACTCCAGTGTTTTGTGAACCATGCTCTGGAATTCTGTCCTCATATTCATTCATCGTGAGCTTAAGAAACTGCCGTGCTTTATTATTTTTGTTTTAATTTGCCCATTCCAGAAAAGTAGGC